AATCATAAATCGAGAAAAAACGAAAAACATTTTTTGATTTTTCAAAAAACAGCTGGTTTTTCGAATAGGGGGTGACGAAAATCTTCGAAAATTTTGGACAAAAAGGAGGTATCGAGGAAAAATTTTTACCAGTTATGAAAGAGCAGATCACGGGCTATCTTCCCATGCTGTTATCTCAATTTCGAAAAATTTGACGAAAATTGACTTTTTTTGAGGGGGGGCGGGGCCTGAATAAAAGAATGAGAATACATAAAATCTTATATTGACTTTCGACATATATCGATTTCATTTCTTCAATAAACTTTATTCTTTCGAAATTGATTATAATATCTATCATCATCGAAAAGTATAACTTTTAAAAAAATCTCTCGTATACTAGTGACCTCTATGAAACAGTTAGTTCGTCCGTTTCTTGATAAATTCCAATGAAAAAAGTTTTTGTTTTTTTAACTGACTGGGAAAATATCTATATCTCAAATTAGTTTTACTTAATTCATTTTTCTTAACTTTAACTATTTCATTGATGGATTCAAATAAAACTGAATATGAACAACAACTTTTATCAAATCCGAAAAAATTAGTTCAACATCTTAGTGATCATATAGAAGAAATCGAAGAAACACTTAATGATGATGAAAATTTTTGTAATCAAGATATTGATTCAACAATAACCTATGTTGAAACTATAGAAAAAAAATTTAATGAAAAAATTCAAATATTGAAAGATAAACTTGAACATATTCGTTTAGAAAATAAAAAAACATCAGAACAAAATAAAAAACAATTTCAAGATAAATGTACAGAAATAAATGAATTATTTACTTCTCAAAATTATGAGCAAGGTTTGTTTTTATTTTTTCCAAAAAACAAACTCTTTAATCTTCTTTATTCTTTTGTTTTAAGCTTGGAACGAATTTAAAAATTATGAAAAAAATTTTGAACAACGATCAAAAGTAATTCTACATATACCAAAATTTCATATGAAAGAATCAGATATTGAAGAATTTTTTTCATCTGATTATAAAATTAATAAACCTACAATATCATCAACAACTATTATTCAAACACCAGTCACAATAACAGATAATGATCAACAAGATTTCAATAATATTAATGAACCAACTAAAAAAGAACGATTACGTCAACAAAAAATTATTGAAAAGGATATTGTCGGTAAAAATGATGATGATATGGAAGAATTTGATAACAGCAATAAAGTAGATCATGATAGGTAATAATAAAAATTCAAAATTTACAAAAAAAACAAAAACAAGAAATTTTTGTCTTCAGATCTAATTTTGGTATTCGATCAAAACGTCCAGGAACTCAACCAACAACAACAACAACAACAAATAATAATACTATGTACGATTGAATAAGAAATTGAATTTTCTTTAACAGATTTCAATCAATATATATGAAATACTAGTCTGTATTAGAAAATGAAATTTTTTAGCAAAGAATATATAAAAATCTTATTAATCAAGAATTCATGATGTCCATCGCAATCGAAAATCTGCCGCGATAATTTGTTCTAATTCACTATCTTTGATCATATTGAGCTAGAAATATTGTTTGCTAATTCATGAGATTTATCGAATTGTAGACACTGAAATTCCGTACGAATTCATATAGTTTTAAAATATCCTTCGGAAAAAAAGCTGTCGCGATAGTAATTTTAAAAGTCTACCATGGTGGTAGTGGATGCACTGCTGCGCCGTCACGATGGACATCTTTATTAGGAACAATCTTCCATGTTTTTTAGTTATTCCTCTCTCAATAAGAGAAGTTATTCTATTAATATAATATGAGAATTCAAAGTTCATCATTTTCTAGCTTGTTTTTGTTAAGATTATACATCTAATATCTAATCTATTTAATGAGTTTTAAATTTCATCTAATAGTCATTCTTCGAAATCACGAGTTGTTGTGTACTCAAAAAGTGAGTACACTCTAGAATCGGTCAGTATGTCCGGCCGACCGTTAACACGATAACTTTTGAAAGGCGAGTCCAATTGCGATGAAATTTTCTACACTGTTCAGTCTTAACAATGTATCGGTCGAGTTCGAAGATGAGAAGAATTCGCTGAAACATTCCTGAGTTATTTCAAAAATACTCATTTTTGCCTATGGCTTCCTAGGCGAAAATCGATCCATCCCCGCTTTTGTAAAGAACTTTTCCTATCATACTCAAACAAAACCCTAACTATTATATACCATTCGATAGAGAATTTTATGAGCTACAAAATGGTATATAAAACATAAAGAAGCACGAAGGCTAACTCACCTATTGCCAAGATAATCAGACGGAAATAGGTTCTGTTTTCGTCCACGCTCCGAAAATGGAGCTCTACCTTCCGATCACGGACATGATACTTCGAGGTTTTTTGGGGCGGAGAATTTGAATCTGTCATCCATTTGTCTTGAAATACCATTGGTTGAGCAGGGACCAATAGAAATCAAGTTATAGGAAAAACGACTTTCTTAGGGTAAATCAAGGCGAAGAGTTCAAATTTGAGCTGTATTCATCCCCAAATCCTATTGGTTGAGAGTAGCCAATAGAAATCAAGTTTTTTATAAAAAAGATTTGCCAGAATAATTTTGATGTCCACACATTCTAGGATGACTCATCTGTCTCATTCACTTTTTGAAGTACACATAACTCTTGGATTTAAATCCGAGGTTTTCGCATTTATTTTTTTCTTCTAAATAGAGTGATGTTGTCTAATTTGTAGAGAT